TGTTTGCCTGCGGGTCCCCGTAATCCATGACCTGAACCATCACCCTCGATTTTCGGGAATTCTCCTAGACGACAAACAAGGGTTCCGTCAACATTGTACCACCAAAGCAAGCATACAAGAATAATTTTTTGCCTTTATTTCTAAAGATGCAGACATTTTCTGGGAAAGAATCAAACCTCCGCAGTAGCAGCATGAGGAAAGAGAGGAAGCGTCTCCGTGAGGAGTCTGCCGAAACCTTAAAAATGTGAGAGAAAGAGTCAGAAGGAGAAATAACGAAACGTGGTTAATTGGTGGAAGAGCAGGGTGAGTAAGTGAGAAGATACCGTGGGAGAAGGAGAGAAAGAGCAGAGACGTAAGGAAAAGAAGCGCAAGAGAACGCGAGGGACGCATTTGGAGAGAAGAGTGAGGAAGACACAGGAGAATCCGATACGGAAGAGAGAAGAAGAGCAGGGCCGTGAAAACTAAAGTTAGGACTTGGGAGTGAAGGCTATAAATATAATATAAAATATCTAAAATCTGGAGGCAGGATTATTTCTCGGAAACCGCCTTTAGTCAGATCCAACGAACGGCCCTTTTTTTTTTTTTTTTTTTTTCCGGTTAACACTGCATGCTTTCTTACCAATCACTGCCAACCTCCATTTTACACTTCTTTTTTTCTTTAAAAAGAAAAAATTCGTCCTAACGTTTAAATAAATGAATTTGAATCTGAGTTTTAAATTTAAAATCATGAATTTAAAATCTCAAGTTTACAATTTACATATCTAAATTTTTTTATTTGGATAGTATAAAAAATATTAAAGGTAGAAAATAAATGAGGAGTGACAAGAATAATAAGGATATTAATAGTAACAATATGAAGAAAATAAAAGAGTTGAAATAGTTAAAATTTTTAAATAATCAAACTTTCAAAAATTAAAATTACAAAGAAATTATAAATTCAAGTGAAAGATTTGATTCAAATCTAAATTTAAATAGCCATGGATCCAGAGATAACATATTTAATTACTAGGAAAACATCTAACTATAATATCTACGTATTATAAATAATGTCGGTTATCTCCAACTCATAATTTAATTTTATACAAATATTCACAAAACTTAATTTCTCGGTACAATACGATAATGATATAATTTAATAGCGAAAAAGACATTACACATTTAGTTTAACATATTTAAAAGCCAAAAAAATAAAACAATTTAATATAATTTAGCTTGAAACTTTTTACTTTTTGTCATATATTGGCATAATTAAATAAAACTTGAGTTGGGAAAACTTTGCGCACTCGAAGTTTATTTTGAAGGTAATGAGCTTGTGCTTAAATAAATGGTAAGATCCCAAGGTTGGAACCGCAGTAACGTAATAATAACAGTCATCATTGGTAGCTATTGTTAGAGTCAAAATTAAGCTGACAAAAGATTGCAGGCTTAATAATGATGTAATGTAAAGTGAAACAAAAGAGACGACGTCGTTAGACTGTGCGTGTTGACGCGCACGTGAGACCGGGAAGAAAATGGGAGAGAGATGTCAGATAATAGACATGGGCCTGAATGCCGAAGCATTATGATATGCCGATATGGTCAGAAGCAGAGAGCGAGTGTGGGGAGAGAGATTCATGGAAGGGAAAGGCAGCTATAGACTGAAGGCCAGGTTCTTCCAAGTTCTTGTGTCTGATTTTGTTGTTATTTTAATATGGGGTTGAAATCAAAATGACAGTCTTAAGGTACATGAAAAAAATAGAGATGTAACTTACAAGTCATTAATTCATTATCAATATCAATGTATATTATAATACACTTCCTCAATTCCCATTTATTAATTATATTTAATTTTATTTATAAGTTACGATGTTAATTTTTAAATAATATTTAAAAAATTATTCTTCTAAAATAAAAAATAATATAACATTATTTTTTTAGATTTATTATATAAAAGTATATTTAAAATTTTATATATATTTTATTTTTTATATTAATATTAATGAAATTAATAAAAATAACTTATGAAAAGGATTAAAGGGAAAGAATTATGTATAAACATATAAAGAAGTATACACTTTTGAGGCATGGACACGGGAGTGGGGCTCATGTTCCACTAGGGCTCTAAAGTTGGCAAATCGGATGCCTTCGCTTTCGAGACCGATAGTGGGAGGCTTTACTTTTTGCCAAGCCTACTTATCTTTCTAAAATGGCCTTTCCACCATCATTAATTTTACCTTTTTCAATGTCAGCTTTTATCTTGTAACTAAAATATATTTTTAATCTTTAATTTTATATAAAATTTTAATTTAATTTTTTAATTTTTATAAAATATATTTTTAATCATTTCATTTTTAACGGCGTTAATTTTAAATTATTATTTTTATATTAATTATTTTTTTAAAAAAAATAAAGTTAATATATAAATATTAAAAAATGTTTTGCTGTTAGATATTTTAATTAAAAAAATTATGATAAATTGGTGTTAGAATTAAATAATTAAAAAAATATTTTATAAAATTAAAAAAATTAAAATAAAAGCTTACATAAAATTAAAACTATATTTTAATCCTTTTTTTTTCATGCTCTGAATATTATTTTTCTTTTCGCTCCATACATGTACGTAATTTCTGGATGCATCTCCACAGATATATCTCGCTTGTTGTTATTACTTTCTGTCGCAGTTGCCACGATTCCACTTCTATTATTCTCTGGGGGTGTGTGTGTGGGTGAGAGAGAGAGAGAGAGAGATAATCTGATCTAGTGGAGAGTGTGGAGTTGCTCGTCAGGTTCGAAGGCTTTCATTATTACTTTCATGGTAGGCATATGTACTACAATGTGTGGATAATGCTAGGATATGTTCGAGATTGAGCCTCAAGGCGCATTGATTTGTTGCCATTTTTTATGGACTAAAGGACGTTTTCATTCTTAAAACTATTATATTCGGGTATTCTACAGTACAGTACTGTGGCTCATTTTTACTGCTAGTTAATTGAAAAAATTACAGAATAGACCCTGGAAAATTATAAACAAATATTCTAGAAGAAAATTAATATAAATTAAATTTCAAAAATTATAAATAAATATCAAGGACTAATATTATTTTTTTATTCTTGCAAAGGTTATTTTAACCAATCACTTTGACGGACTATTGAATGATTTGAATCATATTGCTCGCAAAATTACTGGCAAGTAATTAAATTATCATACTATTTTAGTTTAGAACTTGTATATATAAAAACACATCTACTTATAGTTGTATACATTATAAGTTATTATATGAATATATTGAACTATACATATAGATGTTGCCATCGCTATATATGCATAAATTAGAGGGGCAAAAACTAGAATTTCAAATACGTACGTCTAACTAATTAATAATTACAGTCAGGCGTCGAACAAGAACTAGAGAGAAGGAGCTGACTAAGGCAAATCCAGATTAAGACTTTCGTTAAAAGGGTCGCTATTGGTAGCCATGCAGGGTGTGAATCCTGTGGATGCAACAGATGAAAACTGCGACGACAGTTCAAGAATGGCCAAACAAAAGTGATGATTCACACAATGGAAATGCATGAAGTGAAGACTTTTACAAGAAGAGGGAAATTAATCACATGGTTTGGAAAGGGACGAAGAGAGGGAGAAACAAAGAAAAAGAGAGGTTTCAAGGAACTATTCTTGACTTGCCACCTAAAACAAGCACAGTTCAGAGTTGCCAGCTGGTCAATATTCAACTTCTGATATGATATAGGACCACTTCCTCATTATTGCCCTGCATTTATACCTAATTAGTTGGCAGCCTTCGTTAACAGGTTGCGTCATGCTTAGGGCGCCATACATACCTCTATATAAATCGTCTTTTCTAATCATATACTGTGATCTTTTTTCTTCAGCTGAATACACGTCAAAGGCATATATATAATAGTCCATTTTTTTAGGCATATTGCAAGTTTACTTCTGCATCTCCTTACCTCCCGTCAACAAATTTAGTTAAAAAAAGATATGCATGCTGAGAATATTATTAAAAATGTGAATGAGGCTATCCGATCACAATCAGTGTTTAATATTGACTCTTAAAGAAAATCACAGCAGATTTTAGGGTATATTTGGTCACAGTTAGATGACTATAATATCAATATAATGGATATTATATATTTATTTTTTTATTAAAAGTGAATTTTGTTTTCTGATTAAAGTATATTTTTAATTCTTTAATTTTATGTAAGATTTTAATTTTATCCATTCATTTTATAAAATATATTTTAAGTCATTTAACCTTAACATCATTAGTTTTAAATAATAATTTTTTAATCATTATTATTTTAAAAAATTAAATTTAATATGTCAATATTTAAAAGATCAATATAAAAAAGTTTTGAGGTTAAATGATTAAAAATATATTTTATAAAATCGAAGGGGGCTAAAAGAAAACGAAGGTGAATTGAAAATGTTTACTTTATAAACGAAGGTGAGCTGAAAATGTTGCAATTAATTGGCGAGGCCATTGTTTGTACCATAGTCCATAGATATGGAGCACGGACAAGCAGGAGTTACAAAAAAGAAGGACTTCGAAAATGAAAGAGCAACAAAGAAAGACGAAGTTTTCCCCCTTTTCAGCACTGATTATTATTTTCTCCTCCTTTTTGAGAGCAACTGGTTATTATTCTTTTTATAGGCCTGCAGAGAAAAAGGTCTCGGCCATGTGTGGTAACTGCGAAGGATTTACGTGGACATGCCCCTGGAATGCCTTTTGACTTTTGTGACACCCTACTTTCAGTTTCAGTCACAGGACGGTCACTTTTCCTCTGCCCAACTTGGCACTTAGCATTTTACTGTCTCTGCCACTCAGCCGGATTCTCAGTTGTAGTTTTAGATTTCATTCTCTCTAACGGGTCGTGACAGGTTATGGGGTCATGCACCCCACTAAGAAATAAATAACATAGTTTGATACAGACTGAAGAGCATTGGAGTAGTATATATTAATACTGACAGACCAACACAAATTGCCATAACAACAACAAACGTACAAAATCCATTTTGTCTTGTAATTATATTGCAATTTACAAGCAAATCCTACAGCACAGGTCTCCCATGCCATCTACCTGGAATCTTTCAAAAATTCTTAAATACACTCGTCGTCTTAATCATGCTTGGAAACTCGAGTGCATTCAAGAATTTCTCATTCTCTGGTTGTCAAGTCTGTACAATATAAACCAGAGGCAGACTGCCTAATTCAACCAAACACAGAATTACATTATGGAAGAAAGATACCAGAACAAGAAGTTCAATTTGAACTCCCATTCTTATTTATATACATCCGGGATCTAAGTAGACAAATTCACTAGGTTCTATCTATCACTATGTCATATAAACTTATGTACATAATCTAAGCAAACCATCTCATTGAAAAGGAAGAGGGTAAAACAGCCATGCCGTCACTTAAGAAAGAGAAATAACACAGCAAAGACAGGAAGGTTCCTTCTCCTCAAGGCGAATGCTGGAAGAACCAGTTCTTGGCCCTCCTTCAGTTGGCTCACGACAGGAAGTAACTCTTCCAAACAAGGCAAGTGAGCAGATGTTGCCCGGGATTGGTAATTTCCTTAGGAACATACAGACACCATCAGAGTTTGCTGCACCCAAAAAAATTACAAATATTTTAGCGAAATGTTTATGAGGTCTCATGAAAGTTGAGTGACCTAGACAATGCCGCGGGATTGGCCTGCAAGACTGTCGAGTTTTGTGTTGAATGTTCTTTTCCATCACCCTTTGATGGGAATGCCCTAAAGAGCCCTCCCTCTTGAACTGACTCGGCCTTGTCATTCTTAATCCCCAGCGTTGTCCATATAGAGCTTTTAGCTGCTTCTCCCGGGTCATCAATCCTCAAAGTTTTCGGAACCCAAAGGCACTTCTCTTTGCCGTTTTCTTTACTTCGTTCATCCTCTCCACCCGAGTCATTTATCTTGAGCATGTTTTCTTCCCTTGAATGCTTACCCAAGGTTGGCGAGTTAGGGCCAGAATTAGGGCCCACACTGTTTGGTGATGATGGTTGTGGCAGCCATGGCATGTTCCAAGCACCTGAGACGGCACAACCCCAGTATGCAGCTGCAGGATAGAATGGCATGGTAAAGCCTGGAGGGCAAAATGCAGGAGGTGGTACTGGAGAGCTCCACTGCACTGGATTCCATGGGAAAGGCCACGGTGCCCCAGGATAGTATGGAACTTGAGGTGGGAAGCTCTGACAGTTCTGAATTACTTGTTCTTGTGGCCTGTTGATGCTTGTATCTTCCATCGGCTGTGTTGACATGTTAGAATGATCATCCCCTTTCTCTCCACTGGCATAGGGAACAGGAATTCTTAGTTCTTCGGGTCTGTGAAATCCATTTCTTGTGCAGTCCTGCATTGTTTTATCAGCAAGGTTCAAGACAGATGCCATTGACTCACACAAAGGCGTATCAGACCCAAAAGCAAGGACTGTGCCATTGGGCTTCAAGATAGGATGATGCACTCCATTTGGCATGTCTGTTCGGGCAGTCTGGAGTGCTTCAGCAACAGTTATTTGGCGATAATGAGAAGAGTTCTTGTTCTTTCGACGACCAGCACCCACAGGCACATTCCTCATAGTCCCACCAGCAGTCCAGTATCTCTGGCAGTTCTTGCAGAAGTGGCGGGGTTGGTTGACATTGTAATTATTGTAGTAACAGAACTTGGTGTCCATGCTATTGCAGCGGGGGCAAGGCAGTATTTTGTCTGGCTTTTTCAAAGTCTTTTCTTGTGAATTACTTGTCTCACTCTGTTCTTCTTCAGATTTTGAAGCCTTCAATGCAGTAGCCTCCTTCTCACTAGGGGGCGTAATAGATTCTTCACCTGTCCTTGAGGCTGCATCTGGATTTGTAACCTCTTCTGTAGATTGAGTGGGGGCCTCATCCTCCGTATTCTCATTCGAGTTCTCTTCCAAAGTGTCCTGGATTCATAACAACTTCGGCTAAGTATGTTGATAAACTACTTTTTTTCCTTATCAGCACTTTGTTAATATTATTAAAAGAACAGGTCAATCAGAATATCAAATTTCTGCGTGGTAGAAAAAAACTTTGTATGATCGTGTCTTCTCCTGTTCTGTGTGTACTGAAGTTTCTTAAAAGCACGGTTTCATTCCGCAGGATCTTTTCCAATATTGAAGTAAAACTTTTTGTGTACACAGCATAAATAGCTACTTTATCAGAACAAACAAGAAGAATACACCAGAGTTTAATATCACTGCATAACGCAAGTTGAAAGCTGCTTTTTTTTTTTTTACCAGTTGTTTAAAATCCACAGTGCAATATCAATGGTCAAAATCCCATACCAGTATTCATCCACAAACATGTTATTCCAACATTTCAGTAAAAGTTTGAGGTTTGAAATATTAGCATCCACCTTTTGTAGAACAACAGGTTCTAAACCAAGAGAAAGGTAATACGACAACAGAGGAAGATATGTAACTAAAATAAGTAATACTGGATTTCTTAGAGAACTATAACTCAAAACTCTCCTGGTACAAGAGAGAACACCAACTATAAACCCAGAAGAAGGCAAGGATGAGTGTGTGTGTGTGTGTCTAAACTAAAGTTCAAACAACAAGAAAACCAGTGGAAAAGTTCAAATGGCACGAATCCAGTGTTGAATTCAATAACATTCAAAAGGTAAATAGAAAAAGAATTTTGTCACAAGCATGCTGCCAACCCAGAGAAAACGAAGTAGAAAAAGATGTATAATAAATTTTTTGTGGTCAGAAGGATCTGAATACTAAGAGAGAAAAATAAGGTTTGTCTATGGCTGTCCACATGTCCAGTGCAAATTATTATCAAGGTTCAAAAGTAGAAGTGGAAGAAACATAAACAGATCTCACTAGAAGCCTGAGTCCCAGGAAAGGCACAGATTGAAATTGAGGAAAATAAATTATATGGGCAAGGACCATAAAATCAATAGCTTAAATAATGTTGACCCCATACAAGCATACTGCAATTTCAGAATCTGACAGATTAACCAAGCACCAGAGATTTGAGAATTCATCAAAACACGAATGCTAATAAAGTAACATGAATCTTCTAGTGGAAACAAACCCAAGCCTCAACTTGTTAAAGATAACATTTAAAAATTGAGCTTCTGAAAAAGAATTGCAAATTTGAAACAGACCAATCAAAAAGCTATCCCAATGGAAACTAACCAAAAATCCCGAATCAGTGACAGTCATTTGAATCAAAATATTAACCAACACAAGCTACCACAGCCAGTCAACAGAAATGGCATTGACAAAAGCAAAACTAACACCAACCCATTAAATCTCTCTGCGGTTTACATAAGGGGTCACACTAAAAATCAAAAATATATGACCCGCTCCCAAAATTTCCATACCTTCTCGGTCTCTTGCTCTTCCCCGTGCCTCTTCGTATTAGACTCTCGCGATGAGTTGGTGGGAGAAGCACGATCGTGATCAACACCATCATCAACAATATCCCCAGGAGACGAAGCTGGAACTCCGGCCGAGACTACGGATCCGGCCTGGATCTCCGGCAGCGGGATCGTCTTCCCGAAGAGTTTGATCGCCGGGTCTTTTGCTTCCGACATTTCTGTCCGCGACTTCTCTCTTTCTTTTTGGTTTTTATTTTTTCCCCCTTTTTCAAAGTTTTTTTTCTTTGTCTCGCCAAAGAGAGAGAAAGCTGCAAACTTTGTAGAGAGAGATCCGACACGTTGTGTGGGGAGACTGAGTGTGTCGTCGGAGTATGGTTAATTCTTTTTTCTTTCTTTCTTTCTTTTTTGGTTGGTTTTTGGGGGTTTGTCGATCCGGAAAGCAAGTGGGGGCTGCCACGTCAGAAGCCACGAAGAATTACAGCCACAAGTTTCTTTGTGGCCTTAAAAAGATCTTTCTCTTTCTTGCTTTTGATTCTCTCTCTCCAGTCTGCCAATGAATGTACACACATTTCATAAAATGGAGAGATGCGACATAGCCAGCGATCTTGAATTCTCACCCACGATGGTCCTGTTCACCGCTTTTTCTCTCAAACAACACAAACACAACAGTCTCCTCTTATCTTCTCTGTCCTCGCCCACCAAATTAGCCCTTTTTTAAAAAGATATGCTTTTGACTATTTATCGATAATAACCATTTCCTCACATCTCTTTTTGCTATTCTGTGGATGACAATGCATCTCGGCCAGCCTCCTCCCCGTACTTCGCCCTCTTTTTTATTCCTTTTCTTTATGCCCACATCCCGCCCCCTACAAAGCCACCAATACCATTTCACACTCAACCTGCAAAAGGAACAATCCCTTGGTTGCGTCAATTTCGATCTCCTATTTCATCCATCCATTACCCTTCCCTTATATTTATACTTTTTTTATGAATATAATTTTCTTATAAGTTTTATGTAAAATATTTTGAGGCATATCACGAGATAGGATCGGATGACGAGGATCATAATGCGTAGTATCATGGGAGTAAAACTACAGGAGAGAATGGTACCTTAGACCAAAAAAAGAACTAAAGGAAGAAAACAAAGAGTTTTTGGATTGCATGTTATTTGAACGCAGGATAATATAGAGAAAGTAGTACAAGGGAAGACGCAAAAGGGCTTGGAAAAGGTAAAAGGCAGGAGGCAGTATGAAGTTTTGTGGCCGTGCATGGGCCATCATTAATATTTGCCCTGTTTTTAATACCCTCTACACGTCTGCTTGCTGCGCCAAGCCCGTTGTATTGTATTGGTACCAAAAAGGCAAAAACCAACAAACCTCATCCACGAGATCGTCAACGCCACTAGTTTCGTAGACACCACTGAGATGCCATCCCACGGTCCCCAAATTGGTCTCGTCCACACTCTACCACTCCCTGAAATAATTAGCATCTCTCTTATTTCCTCTGGGAAATTAGTTCATAAAAATTAAACTTTTGTTTTTTTACCAGAAATTCATGATTAAATTAGACAAAAAAACATATATTAGTATTTTTTTTACACGGTATCTGATGCAAGCGGCAGCGTTTACATGGAATTAAACCTGCGGTCCTGTTAATAATATTAGAAAAAATTAATAAGTCACGTGAGTTGCGCATGCACATATACACAGGCTCAACGTGAGGGTACGTAATATAATTTATATTCATTTTAGGAAGAAAATTAAAAGGTAAGGTGTATGTTTGATGTTAAGGTAGTTTTATTCATGAATTAATTTGTTATGAAGTTTATTGAACATGCAGTAATTATTGTGAGATGTGAAGAAATGGTTAAAAAAAGAAAAACTAAGTAGGAGAAAAAAGGGCAAGTGGCGGGGGGAACAAGCGAACAAGTTCACTTGGGTGAGAAAAGAGCCAGCTCATGGAGATGGGCCCCACTGCGAAAAAGTAAAGTGATAAAGTGGCTGCCTCCACAGGCTTCGCCATCCCAAACATGGGATGGGATGGGATGGGATGAAAAGCCACTGCCACCCGTGTCACGTGCACCACACGTGTGATGCACCTGCTGCTGGCTCGTTCCTTGGCAGCTACGCAGAACCTGTCTTTTTGCTTCTTGTTCTTTTCTCGATCGATCGTCACGCCTAAATTCCATTTAAATAAAAAAAAAAAAACTATATACACTTTCGTTGGCTTTAATTCTTTAAACGTGGAATTACGAGGGAGGGGGAGGGGATGAATTAAAATATATAAAATGGATATAAGGTATAATAAATGATTAAACTATTTGACGAGTGGGGGAAGTGGCAGGTGGAGAAGGAAAGGGAAATGAGAGGAAATGAAAGCCCATGTGGCGTAGCTTATCACTATGGAGGGATGAGGGGAGGGAGTCCCTTCACTATTTTTCCTCCATTTCTTCAATTCCTATTATTTAAATTATTTTATTAAATAATTTTTTAAATAATAAAATTAATAAATGGTGGGAATTAAAAAAATAGAGAGAAAAAAGTGAAGAGAGCCTTCTTTCAAGAAATCTAACCATGCTATTATTTTTAATGTTTTAAGTTTCTCACTCAATTCTAGTAATTCAATATATATTACTCAACATTTCAAGATCTATCTAGACCTTTCTTTTCCTTTTTTTTTTCAACCCCTTTTCTTTATTTTATTTAAAATATAACAATAAAATCTTACCAAAATGTACAAATTATAATTAATTTTTTTAAGATGTCATAATTTTTTTAAAATTTTAAGATACATTTTTGATATTAATGATTTTAGTTTAGATGATTAAATTGCTCATTATTTAAAAATAATAATGGGTTCGTGTGAAAAATTATGATTTCTAGTATAATTTTCACAATTCATAAAATAAAAGTTATGATTGTTTAAACAAATATTATAACTAATTATTTTCAGAACTTGAATCTCAATAATAAAAGAAATTTTATATGAAAAGTTGTGATTTCTTGTTATTTTTTATGATTCACAAAATAAAAGTTGTGATTGTTTAAATAAAAGTTATAATTGATTATTTTTAAATCTTGAACTTCAACAATAAAAAAAATTTTATATAGAAAGTTATGATTTTTTATTCAATTTTTGCAATTCAAATAATCAAATTTTTTTGATTTCTCATTTACAATAATTAATAAAAAAAACTCCACAATATGTGTGAGTTCTACCATATTTTGTCTCTTTGTCTCATTATTTTCTTTTATGGAAAATTTTATAATATTATGAATATTATATGATTATATGAATGCATGCCCATTACTCAAAGGTCCCATTTGCTTACTAAAATGGAATAGCTTAAAAAATAAAGATAAAAATAAAAATAATTATAAGGGATAGATGAGCACATCCATAAGGGGGAGGAGTAATTTAGTTCATAGGATTATGAATCGTGATTCATGAAATTTTTAAAGGGTGTGATGATTTTCACATTTATAATATATATTAATGACTTTTGTCATACTTATCATGAGAAGCATGGTTATTTAGGTCTTGTTTGTTTATTAGAAATAAATGAAATATTCAAATGAATTGAAAAAAATTAAGACAAAAATGAACTAAATCACTATTCTCCCATGGTAAGTATGATAAAACTCATTAATATATATTATAAATGTAAGAATCATCAATTATCACATCCTCTAAAAATCTCATGAATCATGATTCTCAATCCCATGAATTAAATTACCCCTTTTTTTAATGAACGTGCTCACATATTCACTTTAATTATTTTATTTTTACCTCTATTTTTTAACCCATTCTATTCTATTTTATTTTAGTAAGCAAACATGACTTTAGTTCATTTTTATCTTAATTTTTTCAATCCATTCTTTTCTAGTAACCAAATGGGACCTAATGCTTCTTTATTTTTCATAACCTCCTAATGAATAACTTAGAAGGAGTTTCTTTAGGTTAATGTCCTGTGACCTTCAAAAGTTATATACCATACTATGATATCATGCTTTATTCATTTGAAACATTAAGGTTAGGCTTTAATGATCAAAAGCCTATAAACAGAGGTCATGTACAAAATATTGAATACCCAAGCGAATAAAATATACTCCCTTATTTACTCTTTCAATTCTTCTTGCATTGCTATTCTTTTTTCCTACTCTATTTCCATAACATGGATATCAATACGACATATTCTATCAAATTAGTTCGTAGCATAAATTTGAAGAATTTTTTATTGATGCTTGTTGATTTTTATTTGTGGCATAGAAATGGTTTGTCCAAATGGAGTAGTAAAAATTTACAAATTTATTTTGAATGAATGATGACCTTATAATTTCAAAGAAGATATGAATTTTAGTTATTCATAGCTTATTAGGTATTCATATTGAGGTTTAAGAATTTATTTTATTCTATTTTTACTTTATGCCATTTTTCTATTTTCTATTTTATCATTTAAAAGTACAGGTTTTATTCTCATATGTTTGTGACAATCAATTTGATATCTATTGATATTTTAAATTCATGTTATTAAGAGGCCAGTAGCTATATTATTTTTGATTTTGTGATTAGATGGGTAGAAACTATATGACTTTTAATAATAATCTTTTGTAAAAAATTACTTTATGATTCCAATAAATATTATGAAAAATATTGTTTATATCTTACATTATATTTAGTTGGAGAGAAGAGGGAAGGGGGAGGAAGCCTCCAATTTTGGGGGGGGGAGGTTTTGGAAGGGAGGGAAGAAAAAATTTTAAAGAATTTTCCTCTCTTCCACTTTGCCAAATAAGGGGAGGGAAGGGGCTCCCCTCCCTTTGTTTGGCAAAAGGGGAAGGGAAGGAAAATTTTAATGAATTTTTCCTTCCCCCCTTCCTTTCTCCCCCAACCAAACATTATGTTAAAGGTTGATAATCCAAACATTTCATGGAACCAAAAGGCATTGATAACATTGAAAAATATTTTTAATACAATCTTGTGTTAGAAACTATGCCATGTATTATAAATATCGTAATTTAATGAATTTTTCTTATGTTAACATATTAATTATATATTTACTATGATAACTGTATTCTTAGATAAACTATAGTAATTATCCTAAATATCCCTAGTCGGTTATTTATGAGGGATCATAGATGAAACAGACTAGTATGTCTTTAATTAACTATAGAGATATAAATTAAAGTCGTAAGTACTTAAAAGGATTCGAGGTGCTGAACTGACCTACTATGAGAAAGCTGCATAGTAAAAGTCATAAACTTATCTCATTTATAACCATATCACTAAACCCTTTGATATGAGATCATCATGAATTCATACATGATGAGCATTAAACTTTAACTTAATAAAAGATTATCTTTAATCGGGTGATCATAAAGGTTATGATTAAGTTTAATGATATTCATGTAAAGGAATATGAGTGGTCAAAATTGAATTTCTCCCTTACATTAATTGAGAGATGTTACTGGGTCCCTCGGTGATATGAATGAGAAAATGTATGGCCATACTATAATGGTAAGAGTTTTTCTATTGCTATAATCAATCCACTCAGAGATCGAAAAAGTAATAGTCAGGCAAAAAATAATAATAATTTCATATATCAT